ATATATATATATATATATATATGAGATTAGTGCATATCAATCCCAACTCTCAAAAATAATTAGAGTACATATATTTCACCTAATGGAAGAAATAGCTTCTTTTTGTCAGCTGTGGAACTAAGGTAGCCATATTTGCTTAAAGGAGAACATATAAAAAGCACTAAATAATTAATTAATACTAGAAAAATCATTTTTTGGGGGGACAAGCAGCTTGTGTTTTTTATATTTTCTAGTTAAAGTATCTCAAAAGATTTAGAAGAATTATGAGAACTTTATATATATATATATATATATATATATGGTTGGAATTGGCTCATTCCCAAGAGAACAATGAGCAAGGGAAGTCAGCATGAACATGAATGTAGAAGTAGTGATGTTGGTCAGTGACTAGTAAAAACGCAGAGAAGAATCCTCTCTTTGAATTCTGTGAATTGTGATGAACAAAGTTTAAACAATGAAACAAGTTCAAAAGACACATAATTCAATCAAAAGTAGCTAGATTACTTGTTTGAACAGCAAAATAGGCAAATTACTTATACAACTATTATAACCAAACAAGTTCATTCAACACAAAATTCAATTAATAATGACCAAAATTGAGAAATAGACTCACAATTTGAAAGCTCCTTCTCCTTAGTGCAGCTGTCGTTCTCCTAAGCTTCATTGCTTAAGCAAGTGTCAATGGCCTGCAGCAACATAGAATTCAACTCACATTAAGCTTAAATTAAATAAGAAAATAAAGGTCCAAGCCACAAACGATGCTATTGAACTTAGAAAATAAAGGAATGACCAGCAATATTACACTAATATTGAACTTGGAAAACATCACAAAACCTTTAACAGCAACTTCCAAAACTAAAGCTAAATCATGAGACTAAATCACAAAAGAACAAATATAGAGTTGAATTGGAAACAAAAAACCACAAGCAGAAAGTGAAGAAAAAAGATCTAGTGTTTCCAATGCCAGAGAACTCCACCAAAATGATTTAGCAAACAGGAGACAAAAAGACATGAATCTAATGAAAAAGCAAACCAAGGAGATTTGAAAGAAAGATAAGAATTGAAGAAGACACCAGCAATATACTGGGAGCTAAAAAGCGATTGTGGTGGCAACAGTGTAGCACAAAGCTGCAGCCTTGATATTTGCGGCTTTGGGGCAAGGGACTCTCCCACTCCTCAACCACACCTTCCACCTCCCTCGATTGTTTCCTGCACAACCAGACGGTGAGGTTCGTTACCTTGACCATCTCATCGCCACCGCTTGAATGTTCAACTCTCAAATTTTAGAATCATAAACAGGGGATTTTGAAAATCTAAGAAGAAGACACAAACTTAGAGTACTTGATGAGATTTGAAGAAGAAGACAAAGGATAACACGAGATCAAAATCTAAGAAATCAAAATCAAAATGAATAACAAGTTTGAAGAGAAATCAAAATCAAAATTGAAGCTTACCTACCACAATTGGTTTAAGGTTTCTGCTTACCCAAGGGAGAGACTCTGGAAATTAAACAAAGATTTTGGAAATGAAAAGAACGAAGGAGAATAGCAATGAAATAGAAAAGAACTAAAAGATTGGAAGAGACGAGTGATTCTGGGTGTTGGGACAAAAGTTAAATAGAAATAGTAATGAAAGATACTTAGTTTTGGGAAAATAACGTGGGACATAATTTTGGAGGGATTCTGACATCATGTCCTCCTTCATTTTATTTTAAAATTTACAGCTGCTTCTCAAGCATCGGAAATGGATAACATTTCCAAATGCATAAATGAAGCGCCCCAAAAGCACTCTATCTAGGTTAAAATTTGTAACACACATGATAGGCGCCTAAAATAAAGTGCAGGCAAATCCTAAAATTTTTGTAGTGCATTAACAAAATTCTGGTATGTTAGTCGTCTCTTTCAAGTCCAAAGATTTGCCCTTAATGTTTATATGTTTATCAGACTGGGTTATAAATTGAAAGAGAGAACTTGAAAAAACAAGGTTGAATTATTAATATTTCTTGGTGGTTAGATTTTTGCTTCATTGGTATGCATGAAATCCAAGGACAGTAGGTAAATAAATGAATAACATGGTCCTGTGGAGAAGTAATGATTGTGCAGTACAAGACTAAAAACATATGATTTCAGGAATTTATTTCTTTTAGGAAAATCAATTATTTCCTGTGGGACATGACCATATAATTGTATAACAAATAAATACATTATGGAGTTGGATGCTGGCAACAATAGAAAGCATCAAATGTCCCAAGGGACCATAGTTAAAATCTTGAATTTTTATATAAGATCTCTCAAGTTCGAATTCTAAAATGGGTGACAAGGAGTTTGGGAAAAGAATGACTACTTCTTGTTATTTATCTCATTATCCGACATATAAAAACAAAAATGAAAAAAAAAAGGTCAAATGTGTAATTTCAACATGAGAACAAATTTTGCATGTCCGTTCACGAGGAGATTGATACAAATGGTGTCATGATACAAGGGGCATGGTGGTGATTTCACTTTTGGATCCCTGTTGCTATGGTTATTAATTCTTGAATATTCCATTTAGGTTCTTGATCAGTCCGTCGCTCTAGTACTTGGTGTGTGTGTTCCGTTTTCTCCAATGAAGTAAATCTATACACGGTTTTCCCTTGGTTTGTAAACTGAGATTTTAAACCATGTTTTAAAATATTTTGAGATGGTAACAGGACAAAATCTGTTTTATGACTTTTTGCATGACATGTATTTGTTGAAATCCGTTTATTATGTTAAATAAAAATTGATCATGCCATGTTGATTTTACTTGAGAAATCTATTCAATTTTGAAAAGTGTAATTACCAGCACATTTTTCTGAGAAATTTTCCAGAACCTGAAATCTCTCTTATGTTGCATATGATTACTTGCCTATTTTGTCTTCAATTATGTCATGATTCCTATTCATGATGCCAATGGGAGTAAAAACACTATGCCATGTCGATATGTTAACCTGTGATACTGGTACATCTTGATTATTTCTGTTCATCCTGTCAATAGGAGTAAAAACATTAGTAGTTCTTGTTCATCTCATTGGTGGGAGTGAAACATTGGCAATGACTACTTGAGGAGACTATACCTTGTTTTAAAATTTTTTATGATTA